CCCAGCGCCAGCCCTTCATGGGGGGGGGGGGGGGAGAAATCGACAAAAACCTCAACGGTGATTCATTTCCTCGTCTGCGCCAACCGCCAGTGCGTGCGGCGTTTTTCTGGCCGGCGTCATTTGGTTGTGACACTTGACGCGTTTGTGGCCCGCGAAAGGTTTTTCTCATCCCCATCGCTGCGGCAGCAGGCCCAGGATGGTGACGGAGGTGGCAGAGGAGGAGGTGGTTGTAATTGTAGTGGGTCGGGTGGTTGTGGTCGTGGTTCGGTATTTAGTTATTGCATTTATTGTTGCTAGCTGACGTAGGTTGCCTTATCATTTTTCAGTCGAGCAAGCCACGTCTTGCGATAACATCCCAAACAAAAACGCTCACTCGTGGCACCTCCACAGAACCGTCAACCCAGCGCCATCACGAACGTGGCAGCCGCAATCGGATCTCGTAACCAGGAGTGTGCCGAGTGAAGGGGCGCCGTGGTGGCGAGATGTTAACTACCTCGCCTGGTATGCAGGAGGTCGTGGGTTCAATCCCGACCCTGACGATGCATGTACATTTGGCGTTTGCATGTCTCTCTCCCCATGGTTGCATGGATTTTTCTCCGGGTCCTCCGGTTTTTCCCTCAACATTTAGAAACACGTGTTTCGATTATTTGGCTGCTATAAATTTCCACATGCTAAGCCACTACGTTTGGCTATTATTTGTGGCCAGATTGTTTCTAAAAAAAGAGATATATAGCTCAGTGGACCTTAACCTGCTAAAATAAAAAATATAGTTTAGTTTCGAAGTAGATTGGTGATTGCAGCTTTAAAGAGGGTTACCTATTATAAGCAGCTAATGGTCAGTTGGGACAATGTATCTGGTAGTGGAGTCATGGGCAAAAGTTACATTTCTCCTGCTCACACCTTTGTTGGTCGGCTCTGCATTGGTGGTGGAGATTACATATTCCCAATCAGGGGGTCAGTATTGTCCATAGCTGCAACCACTACTGATTTAAAATGAAGTGCTACTCATTATATTGGGGTCCTGGAAAAGTTTGATCGGCTGAGTCGACCCCCGATTGGGATTTTCATTCGCAGTGTATCTGATCACAAGTCGATTTGTCTTCATACTATTGCTGTTTTATCCGCAAAAAAAATTACATGAATCAGAATCTTTATGTCGACTGGAGGAATCCAATGAGCTATGCAGCTCTTTTTCACAGGTGTCCAGTGTGGGCGGGTCAGTAATAATTAGGAAAAGACTCGGGGAAGCCTCCCTGAGTCAGGGAAGCCTCCCTGAGTCTTTTGGCTGCTAGCCGTCGCACAAAGACGGTCACCCGCCATCGCGCGCTTTCAGATGCGCTTCCGCGGCCGTCGAGAACGCTCTTCCTTCTGATATTAGGAATCCACTGGAGCTACGCACTTTCAAATCATTGGGATTGAGGACTCATTTCTTAACAACATCTTTTTATGGCATCATCATGTCCATTGAAACCTAAATCTGCATGAGCATGGTTAAAACACGAACCACGAGTTCTTGAGCATCTCAATTCAGATTCACATCTCTTTGTGTTTCGTTTGTTGTCCTTCCCCACGCCTCCGATAAGCGCGGTTGGCTACGTACGGTGCGAGAGAAGTTCAACATGCGTACATACATATGCATCGTAATTTCATCACGGAGGGCGTCCCAGTGAAAAGTTTTTTTTTTTCTGGCTGGGGCAGCTCGAGCGCCCGTGGGCGAGCGGGGGCACAGCGTGGCCCCGGCGAGCGTGACCGCCGCGCGCTCGTTTCCTTTCGCAACGCTACCGCTCAGAATTTGCATCGCCTGACAAAGTCCACGACTTCCTCGCCGCACCTTTAAGTTCGCGGCCGGGTCAAAGGCGGCAATCTCCTTCCGGCTCTCGGAGGAGTGCGTGACAAGGGTCTCCTGCGTGAAAAAATAAGAATAGATTTTACCCTTTTTGTGCCAATAAAACAGGTGTTAAGATGTTCAGCCACCAAATAGAAACCTTTTTTTGCAAGGAATCATGTCTCCATTAACCACATGTACTTGTGGTGAACATGCAAACAGACATGCTCTGATGATAACATACGCATTGTCTTTGAAACTGATTGGCCTATTCCAGAGACAACAGGGTTCTTTAGGGCCCAGTCTCACCAGTGTCAGACCAGGGAACGCCAAAAGTTGAACAGTACAGGGACAATGCCACACGTATCTGAGCATCTATAGCTCGCCGTGAGCAGCTATAAAATGGGACCTTTTTTTCAGTATCAAAGTCTGAAAAAACAACGATATACGTTTTACCTCTTGCACTTTTGTGTTCGGGTCATAGCACGCGTCGTTCCGCACGGTGCCGCGCGTTTCCTGCACCGCGTGCTTGGGAGCTTTTTCAGGAACTGGATTACGTCGGACATCAGCGGTGGCAGCAGCAGCAGCAGCAGGAACTATATCACCGTTTCCTGAATAAGGTCCCAAGCACGTGGAGAAAAACGTCGGGCGTAACGCTCAACAACGCGCAGTATAACACCCAAAACACATCGGAGAGCTGCCTTACTCACCCGTTTATAAGGCACACTCCCCCCCCCTCCCGCCACTGCGTTTTTAAGAAAAAGTTGGGGGTGCGTTTGTGAATCTAATAGAGACACCTGTGTATGTGTGAGACCAGATTAGAATAGCATTATTGGCACCGGGCACAAATTCGGAGTGCGCCTTACTTTCCAGAGCGTCTTATCATGACGGAGAATACAGTAGACTACAGTACAACCAGGACGCAGTGGGAAACGTTGCGGCTGAACCCCGGTCCACGTGGACATGACCTCAGCCCTGCTGCTTTGCATCTGCCACTCTGCTGGGTTCACATGCATATTGGACGGATCGTTATCTGGATCAGGGTTTACGGTCAGGTGTTGTGGTGTGCACGTACCCTTTCTGCTGTGCTCTTTATTTAGGCAAAGGTCACAGTGTCCCCCCCATCCCCCCACCACCACCGCGCTGGAATGAGCGATGTGCACGCAAAATGAAACCGGAGCGCCCGGACTTTAAACTTGCGCATATTATTTTTAACACGGATCAGCATCGCGTGTCCGCATAGGAAGGAATCTGTGTCCACGTGCAACGCTTGTTCCCTTTTTCGTGTTTAAAAAAAGCACCCCACTGAGTCTCGGGGGATATTTTTTTTCCTGGAGGATCGTGCATCGAGATGTTTAGCCATTGTCTTTGCCACCGTCCACTGGTTGCTAGTTAGTGTTCACTAGAAGCTAGTTAGTGTTAACTAGAAGAAACGCTGCTAACCCGGAGGAGGGAAAGACCGCCCCTCATACCTCCCATAAGAAGCCACCCATAATTGTCCATCTGCTTAGATAAGAAGAAGGGTTCCTATTGATTGGGCTCTCAAAGAAGCAGAGCATTCTGGGAGAAGTAAAAGGGGCGGCCGTGGATTATTATGTTTGGAGAGCTGATAAGAGGAGCAATGGGATTGTGAAGACCGCGAAAGACATTGGAACACATTGATAGATGCCTTGGCCTATCGCAACGGGATGATATAGTCACAGTTCATTGTTTATTCGGGAAATCCCGTGCACATACATGTAGGGTAGCTCTTCTAATTTTGAACGCAGAGATGTTGAGTCTATTTGTGTGGGAGGACACTGGAGTACCCAGAGAAAGCCCTTGTCTACATTTATATTCATCATCATCACTTTAACAAAAATAAACGAAAAACTACACATGTAGGATCAACGTGCATTTGTAGTTTTTGGCTGCTGTAAATTTCCACGTGATAAGCTATCATTTGTGGCCAGGTCACTTCTGAAAAAGAGCTACATAGCTCAGTGAACCGTAGCTGGTAAAATCAAAAGTTAATGTTTTCTTTTGGCTGCCGCTCCGTTCGAGAGTTCTCGACCGACGGCCACCGATCCCCATCCAGCGACGCGTTCGCCCGCCCTAGCCACTCGCGTGACCACGATCAACGGCGGTGTCTCCCGCGATTGCCGCCGGTCCTCGCGAACCACCGCCCTGAGCACCGGAGTTACGATTGGGTGACGGCGCCGAGAGCTCCGCGGGGTTTCACGGTAAACGGACAGAGTGGCGGCCGCTCGCATTGCGCTGCCCCGCACTGACTGCCGGCGTGATTTTTCTTCGCTTCGAGCGCAGGTTAAGTGCGGCGCGTGCAACAAGCGCCGTCTCTCGGCGCGTCGTCGCGGCAGTCGGCTGGTGGCTAACGCTGCGTAAGCGTCCGCGCACGTGCATACGCACGCGCGCTACGTTCGTCTGTTTGTGCGTATGTTGGAATTGTGGTGCGCGCGCAAGTGAGTGTTGTTCTGTGCCCGTATCCATCAGTGACTGCTGAGGCTGTGTCTTGAATTTTTCCATTGAATAAAGGAGATGTATGCATCGGCCGGTTGATGTTAAAATGCGGTTGATAGTTCCACCGGTGCCTTTGAGAAGGAGAAACATTGAAGCGGGGATGTGCGATGGTGTTTTTGGTCTCGAATTAGGTGTTAATTCTGGACGTCCGCGTTGCTCCGCTCTGTTTTTGTTGTGACGACAACGAGTCGCTTGTTGACGTTCGTGTGCCTCGCTGTAAATCGCACGTGTTCCTCCTCGCCTCCTCTCGATGGGAGACTCCCTGTGGCGTGGCGTTCACGTGTGACTCGTGGCTAGGATGTGCCACCCCGGTGCGGAATTGCGTGTCCAGCGACTGGATAGAATCGGCGCTTTGTTTTCCAACGACCGCACCCCAATTCTAAACCTCCGAGCATCTCCCGCTCTCTTAACGAGCGGTGGAGCAGCACTCCCCTCCCCTGGGCCTCCCCTAGATCGACTCAGCCTCAAATGAGTAGCTGGTGCGGTGTGTAAACATCGCCACTGGGAAGACAAAGGCGGCCGGGCGCGGTGCTGGCCACCCACCCCCTCGTGTGCCGTGCCAGCCTTCATAGGTGCGCGCTAAGAGCACTTGCCTCAACAGTCTGTGAAGGCTACACGGGGGACCTTTGACTTTGTTTTTTGTCCGCTGTGCGAGCAGGAAGAGCAAGAAGGAGAAGGAGAAATCGTCGGAGACGAAGAAGCTCTACCTGGAGCTCGAGTACGCACGCGCGCACGTCACCGACTGCGACTTCCGCTCGCTCGTGCGGCTCCCTCCAGCCATCGACCGCAACGAGTGGCTCGCCACCTACAGTGAGTCGCGCTCCGCCACGGGGGGGGGAGGGGGGACACCTGGGACCGGTGATGGAAGTGGTGATGGGGGGGACGGTAATGGGTGGGCGGTGATAGGTGAGTGGTGATGTGGGGCAGTGATGGTAGCAGTGGTGGGGGTGCGGTGATAGGAGGGCAGTGATGGGGGGGGGGGTGTTGATGGGAAGCAGTGATAGGGGCGGTCAGGCCCAGAGAAGCGGTGTGGGACCTTTAGGAGCAGAATGGGTTTGGGGAGCAGTGGGGAGTTTAAGGAACGTCAATTCAGATCGAGCATCGACATTGCCTTTGTGAATGTGGACACCCTGCTTAAATAACATAATTATAAGTGTCACCGTTTTTCGGTGAGCATTGGATGGTGCCCATCTCTGTTTGCGGTCCCGAGCCAGTGGTGGAGAATCCACATTCCTATGACGGGGGCCAACCTATGATGTGGAACATGCATTGTTGAATTTAATTTTTAGAGTGATGCTGTTATGACGATGGGCCGCTTGGGCCAGATATACATTTTTTTTTAAATCAAAACTTAATGTATTTACAATAACTCGATTCTCAAGACACATTTTCAGGAGTGTTCTGCAACAGGATGTTTGCCCATTTTAGTCTCAGTGTTGTGTATCCACAGTAAATACATCACAAACACAAGGGAATAACCCTCAGATGGGTCCATGAATTCACCTGCTTATGCTGCAACTTGCTGGCCACCTCGCAGCCCGACGGGATTGAGGGTTTCACAGAGCCCTCGCGATCCACCGATCCTTGGCTCCCGAAGCGCCGCATCACAGGGCGTGCGCCGCCTCGCCCGGTGCTGGCGCAAGCGTCGGGGGTGGTGTGGGTGCGAAGGACGCTGCCGTGCATTGGGAGGGCAGTCGCCCTCCAACGACAACAGAGGGCGGAGGAGCGACGCTCACAACAATAAAGCTTGGGCCCCCGCTGGGCGGCCAAAATGCAGAAAGTTGGCGTCTCGGTCAGTCAACCCATGGCACTTGCTGGGTCTGTCCCGTGACCTCCTGTCAGCGGGACTTCTACACTTCACGCGGCCTCACAAGTGCACCTGGCCTGGCACAGGCACCGTGGTGACGTGACCGCCACTTAGTGGCGAATGGCGGGTGTTTGTTGTTGTTGTGGGTGTCGCACCCTGTGATTTGTCGACGTCACTGGCGCAAATACAACTTCCACATTCCTGTGGCAAAGGCCAGTCTCTCCCATGAGGCCAGTCTTCTCCCATGAGGCGAGTCTCTCCATAAGGCCAGTCTATCCATAAGGCCACTCAATCCACATGACAAACTACTGTTGATTTCCCGCAGAGTGGCTGTCATGTTTATCGTCGGGGAGGGGCGTCGGTCATGGTCTCTGTCCGTTCGTCTCCATTGGTCGTCCTGAGTCAGTGGAGTAAATTCCACGTTCCCCAACGGCAGACACCAGTCTATCCATGGCGTACGCATTGTTGCCTTTGCTTGAAGAGATACTGTTTTAATAAACCCAGAGGGCTTATGTTGTTGATGATGATGACGACGACGGACTTGGTTGAATTCCAAACGAAACGCAAAAAATTTAGCACCGAGCTAAATTATATAATTCTACACCGAGGAACACCAGCTGCAGTGTCCCTAAAGTCTCCCGTTGACTGCCTTGAGAAACTCCGATTAGGACGGTTGGCTACGTACGGTGCGAAAGAAGTTCAACATACACACGTCCCTCACGGTGTACCCCCCCTCCATGCACGCCCAGAGGGCCTGAGCAAGCATTGCACCGCCAGTCCTACGCTCGTTTAACTTTCCACCTACCTGTTGTAAAAGAGATAATGAATCTCTCTGGGCGTTCACCCGGTTTATCAGTCCCCCCCAGGCTCAGCGCAAGACTTGTTGTTGCTGTTGTTGTTGCTGCTGCTGCTGGCCTTTGTTGTGTAATTGGTCGATCGTGACACGGGGAGGGCTCGCCCACCATTGAGTGGAAAATAACCGGAGCGCACTGCTCTATGGAAACATGTCACAATGGCAAAAACATTTCACAGAATTAACAACTTTTACGGAAACGCGATCCCAATATGTAAACACTGTTACATATAATGTATAGATGATCGTGTTTGTGATGGCCGCTCTGCTGTTTTTAGTTGTGCGTTATTATGTAAGCTGCCGACACAGTTTTGTAGGTTATGTAGGTTATGTAAAGTACACGTTTTTGAATTTACATATAAAAAAAGACAATCTCTTGTCGTGCCGACCCTTGCGTTCTCAGACGCGCCATATTCCGCGGATTATAAGACGCGCTATTTCCCACCCACCTCCACCGTGCTTTTTAAGGAAAGGCCAGGAGACACGCGTCTTTGTAATCCGGAGAATCCGTTGCCGTGTCCGTACGACGCGCGCTCATCGAGACATTCAGCGGTAGGCGAGGCGGCGACGCACGCACTTCACGAGCGAGAAGCGCCCGAGTTCCACTCGCGACTCGGGTGCCACGCTCCTCGTGCAGTTTGTTTTGAGTTTGTGCGGTCTCTCCTCAGTTCCGCGTGGGTTTCCCTCCGGCTTCTCCGATTTCTTCCGATGGCAAACAAAAAAACACGCCACGTGACCGGCGTTGGACGAACATCCCGATGTAGAAAAAGCATCATCAGACTCGGCGTGGATTTTCTGGGTAAATAAGTCATCATCAGGGTTTAACAGCAGTTTGATTATTCTCCTCTCCTGCGCATGGGTTTCCTCCAGGCATCGCTTGCGATTAAGATTTCAAATGAACAGCAGTCCACTGTTTTAGTCATGCCCCATAAATATCTCTGAAATTCACCCCCGCATCTCCCATCTTGACTGGATGTCAAAACTTAACATCATCCTGTCAAATATTGCTTTTCTTCAATACATCATCATCATCACTTCCAAAAAAAAGATTCATTTAGGAACTGGACCAAACATCCCAAGCAGGGACCTAATAAAAGTAGGCATTTAGGTTGTCCTTGATAAATGGGCTTTCCTGGGCCTTTTAAGTGTTCATCAACAACTCGTATTAACATTATTTCTAAGTCAGCTCAAGCCTTCCGTAAATCACGTGACGTCTGTGTGGCCACACCCACATGGAATCCCTCTCCTCTCCCTGCGAAAACAAGACGCAGCTCCGTGCCACTCGATTCTGCTCGCTCCTTCTCTCCTCTCTTCCCTCATCCCCTCGGATCGTCGTCGCCATCGCCGTCTCGTCCCGACATCTCGGCACGGTCATTCTTTCTCCCCCCCTCCTACCCCTCCCTGCCCGCCGCTCCTTCTTTCTGCCTGCTGCGCATCTTGAGCCGTGCCTGCTGTCTATCACAAGGCCCGCATGTACTGAACCTTTCATGGGTCACGTTTTTCAATTCCTTTTCCCACTCTTTCGCTTCTCTCTTCCCCTTCCCGTTCTTTTGTCCATGCATTATTTCCTACTCCCCGTGGTGAGCCACAGGTAAAAGGTTGTTTTTTTTTATCACGAACATTAGAAAACAATTGCCTCGTTGGATGTAGTTTACAAACAAAAGGCTGAATTTGTTTTGCACGTGACGAAAAACACGGCTGTTTGACCCCAATGCGCTTCCTCCACCCTCCTTTGCAGGGCTGTTTTTTTTTTGCCCGGGGGGGGGGGGGGGGGGTGTCATTGTCATCAGAGTCACAAACTCGTGAGAATGTCTCTGAAGGAGAAGTGACTCGTTGAAGTGACTGGTTGAGACCGGCTCGTTTTTCTCGGGTGTCCTCACAAGCTGCCCAACTCTCCAGCGCCGATGGGCACGCGGTGCCATTTCGGTTGTGCTGCGAGTGCCGTCCCAGCCTTCGTAGGTGCTCACTATCAGCACTTGCCCCAACAGTCTGTTCAGGCTATACGGGGGATCTTTGTCTTTGTTGTTGTGACCTGCAGTGTGGTGGTTGAGGCGAAACAGACAGTCCGGCGGTCCGAGGGCGCTGGTGCGTGCGGAAGAGCGGTGCAGCAGTGCTTCACGCACTGTTCTTCGAAGCCGTTTACCGGAGTTTGATTCGTGGCCGTGGCCAACATATGCGCGGAGAAAATATGAACGGCCTTTCTTAGCGTGTCTGCGTCTAAATGTGTGTGCCTTTGTGTGTGTGTGTGTGAGTCTGTGGGCATGTCTTCGGGTGTGTGTCTCTGTGTTTATGTAACTCAAATGTGTTCGTCGAGTGTAGCGGTTAGCGCGCTGCGCTTCGAATCCAGCGACCAGAGTTCGATTGCCGCTCACGGCCAACAGCGGTGACAAATATATGAACTGTTCCTGGGCCTCCCCTAGGTCGTCTCGGCCTCAAATGAGTACCCAGTGCAGTGTGTAAACATCAGGACTGGGGAAACAAAGGCGGCCGGGCGTGGTTCTGGCCACCCACTCACTTGTGTGCTGTGCCGGACTTAATATGTGCTTTCAAACAGCACTTGCCCCAAAAGTTTGTTGAGGCAATGCATGAGACCCTTTGTCTGTGGGTCTGTGAGCATGTGTGTCTGTTTATGTATCTGAAAATGTGTGTGTGTATGTATGGGTCCGCGGGCAATCCTGGGATATCTTTGTGTCTCTGAATGTCTACGTATCTGAAAGTATGTGTCAGTGTGCGTGCGTCTGCTGTATATACGTCTGTTTGTGGGCATACCTGCACGTGCGCGTGTTTGTGTCGTCGTACGTCTGAATGTGTACGAACCTACATTGGCGGGTGTGCCCGTGTCCGGAGTGTGCGTTCGTCTGTCGTCTGCGGGCACACCTGCACGTACGTTTGCGCGCGCATGCCTACTGGCCCGCACGACCTTTGCCCTCCGCTCCCCCCATCCCATGCCAGCTATTTGTTCTGCGGGCCCCCTGGACGGGCCGGACCGAGCCAAGAGAGAGTGCACGCTGCATCCTCTCTCTGGGGCTCACCGGCGTCCGCGTCAATGGGGCTCCGCAGTGGCGAGATGTTAACTCCCCCGCCTGGTATACAGGAGGTCGTGGGTTCGATCCCGACCCTGATGCCCGCTGCTGTATATTTGGAGTCTGCATCTTCTCCCCGTGGTTGCGTGGATTTTTCTCCGGGTCCTTCGGTTTTTCCCTCCACATTTCGAATTCGCAACGCGCGTTTGGAGTATTTGTCTGCTGAACATTTCCACGTAATGAGCCAGTTCGTTGGGCTATCGTTTGTGGCCAGGTCGCTCGTGAACACAAATCCTTACCTGGTAAAATGAAACATTGTTAATGGGGACTCTGCTACCACGACAGGGGCTCGGGTGATGTTTCGGCCGTCGCTCCGTGACTCCTTTTGTTGAGACTTCCGATTCCCGAGGCTGTCCTCCCCCCTCCCCCCTCTGTTCTCCAACCGCTTCAGGGCCACGCTTTTACATTTGTTGGCTCACCTTCCCGAAGCGGTGAGGTCAAAAGTTCAAGGGATTCCATGCTCAATCGAGCGTCACTGGGGCAGTGTTCATCTCCCGTTGACGGTCGCTGAGCCAGCGGTGGAATTCCACACTCTCGTGGCCGGGGCCGAGTCTGTCCGTAGGACAGTCGCCGTAGATTTCTCCAGAGATTGCTGCGAGTTCAAATCCCAATCAGTTGGAGTCGGCCACATCGGTTCTTTGGCCAATGAAATTTGCACCGCTTTGGGGTAAATCAATCGTGGTTGTCGAATGGAGAGACTGGCTCCCACCATTGTAATGTGGAAATTCCATCGCTGGTTCATGACCATCAATTGAGAAGAAGAACATCGCCCCAGCAGCTGCTCAGCGGGGAGTCACTATGACTTCAGATCATTTCTTTGTTTTGCTTGTAAAGCTTTAGTAAGCATTAAGACTTTGACATGAGGCTCTTGGGCATTAGTGTTTTTTGTCAGTTTAATCGTTGAATATTTGAACGTGGTGAATGAAAGTAGATTGCCTTGAGACTCCTCACACCTAAAAGTGAAACACATTCAAACACATGTAGCTCTTTGCCTGGTATGTTGAACTTCTTTTGCACCGTACACAGTAAACCATGCCAATTGGAGGTGCAATTATGTAATTTATTTCACCTACAGGAGAACTCCTATCCGTAGTGATGGTGGGTGAACGTTGCAGAAAATGGGGCGAAAATGTCGCACGATTCCTCTTACCAGGTTAAGAAATTACGGATAATAGAAAGCTCTCCCATGAAGCAAGATGCGATATTTTTCAGATAGTAGGAAAAATAAGGTTTACGGATAATAGGACTTTTTCCAGCTCCTAAAGCTCCAGCGGATAATGGAGTCATGAGTAATAGGATTACGAAGGAGAGGAGTCCTGTGAATCTATCTCAGGCGGCCGTCAGGAGGCTGCTTACTGTGCTGCCTCTTCAAAAAGAACCTTTTTTTGCGTTCCAGTGGTTGGGCGATTTGACTCGCGCGACAGCTCCATCTCTGGAGCGATCCACCAACCCCCTCGACATGTCGTGGATTACAGGCGTGGTGGACTCGCCACCACAGCAGGTGCCGGTTATTTATACTCTGCAAATTGAGAAGCTTTGGGCAAATCCCAAAAGCCATTTGATTTAGAATGGTCTTTTTGTTTGACCCTGGAACACGTAAATCCTTCTAATGCGCTCAGCTCGGAGCGGCTAAACGATCCGAATAAATAAACGTGAGCAGCGGGCAACGTGGCCCAGCGCGCTGGACGGTCCTTAATTTGGCTTAATCTCCCCGCTTGCCCGCTCTCAGGACATTTCCCGTCCGTGCGTGGGTGTTTTTTCGTGGCTACGCATTGCCCACCCGCCCTCCGCCCACCTCCGCCCCCCACCCCCTCCTCCTCCTCACCGAAAAGGGGGGCCAGAGCCAGCGAGTTAGCTACCCGGCATGCGGAGCGAAACGTTGGACATCGTTCCAAACAGCGCCACGGCGGGCACGGGCCGGAAACGTGTCGGAGAGCGGATGTTCCGTTTCGTTCGATGGCCTTGCAGTCCTCGTCACCCTGGTGTGCAGTCTAAACTCGGACAGATATGGGCGGCAGGGTTTGTGAGATTTCACACGTACGTACGTACGTTTGAGGAAGTGCGGTCAAATAGTCCCCAAAGGTGCGTAAATGTTTTGGGCAGGGCTGGCTAGGTGGCCAGAACATGGAAATACAGCAAAATGCATTGTTGTACTCTACGTCTGTGCTCCCCACATCTGTGCTGCCCGCCTTCCTCAACCCGCACTGACCAGCGTGGTGAAGTATGGTGAAGTAACCCCCACGACCCGCACGGCGTGAGGAGGCCCTCCTCCAGCAGTGGATTGACAAAATGGCTGTCCGTTTACACGCGCGCGCACACACACACACACACGCGCGTTTATCCATCACGAATGTTAGGGCACCCGACTAATAAATCCCAGGTGGGGTCAGCTCTGCTGCTCATCCCCTCCGGGGTTGATAAAGTGCATGCTGGTTTTTGGAAACCCAAGTGGTTGTGCTGTTCGGAGACTGGGCCCTGCCGTAATAATGTAGATTGGCGCACACCCGTCCGATTACCATCGTTGGCTACGGACGGTCGGAAAGAAGTTCAACATACATGCAGAGACAAAGATCCCCCGTATAGCCTAAACGAACTGTTGGGATAAGTTCTGTTAGCGCGGACATGAAGGCCGGCACGGTCAAGCGAGGGAGTGGGTGTCCAGCACCACGCCCGGCTGCCTTTGTCTCCTTAGTGGCGATATTTACACACCGCACCAGATACTCATTTGAGGATGACTTGACCTAGGGGAGGCCCAAGACCGGTTCAAATAATCATCACTGGTGGTGGCCGTGAGCGAGAATCGAACTCGGGTCTTTGGATTCGTAGCGCAACGCGCTAACTTCTACACTATCGCGCACGCACACACGCCGGCCGTGTGCGGGAAGGCAGTGAATGACTGAACTGGGGGTTGACTTTCCTCGTGTCGTCCCATTGCAGCAACGACGTTCTTCAACCACGTCAACCTGCAGTACAGCACCGTGTCGGAGTTCTGCACCAGCACCTCCTGCCCATGCATGACCATTCCTGGCATGTAAGTAGCGTGTCCATGGTGCACCCAGCTCACCCAGCACCCAGCACCCAGCTCACCAGCACCCTGCACCCAGCTCACCCAGCACCCAGCTCACCCAACACCAGCTCACCCAGCACCCAGCTCACCCAGCTCACCCAGCTCACCCAGCACCCAGCTCACCCAACACCAGCTCACCAGCACCCAGCTCACCCAGCACCCAGCTCACCCAGCACCCAGCTCACCCAACACCCAGCTCACCCAACACCCAACTCACCAGCACCCAGCTCACCCAGCACCCAGCTCACCCAGCTCACCCAACACCCAGCTCACCCAACACCCAGCTCACCAGCACCCAGCTCACCAGCACCCAGCTCACCCAACACCCAGCTCACCCAGCTCACCCAGCACCCAGCTCACCAGCACCCAGCTCACCAACACCCAGCTCACCAGCACCCAGCTCACCCAACACTCAGCTCACCAACACCCAGCTCACCCACCACCAGCTCACCCAGCTCACCCAACACCAGCTCACCCAACACCCAGCTCACCCAACACCAGCTCACCCAACACCCAGCTCACCCAGCTCACCCAACACCCAGCTCACTCAACAACAGCTCACCAGCACCCAGCTCACCCAGCTCACCCAGCACCCAGCTCACCCAACACCAGCTCACCCAGCTCACCCAACACCAGCTCACCCAGCACCCAGCTCACCCAACACCAGCTCACCCAGCACCCAGCTCACCCAGCACCCAGCTCACCCAACTCCCAGCTCACCCAACACCAGCTCACCAGCACCCAGCTCACCCAGCACCCAACTCACCCAACACCAGCTCACCAGCACCCAGCTCACCCAGCTCACCCAGCTCACCCAGCACCCAGCTCACCAGCACCCAGCTCACCCAACACCCAGCTCACCCAACACCAGCTCACCAGCACCCAGCTCACCCAGCTCACCCAGCACCCAGCTCACTATCACCCAGCTCACCCAACACCCAGCTCACCCAGCACCCAGCTCACCCAGCTCATGTATCATCAAAAAATAATCGGATATAATTTCTGCTCACCTATTTTTTTCTCTACATTCTTACACAATGACGATAATGTGCATTTATACAGACAGATGGGGGGGAGTGGGCATTAAAAAAAACCACTCCCGTAATGGCGATGTAAACAGGTTGAATCTGATAAACACTTTCGTGTTTTTCTCTGAGTAATCTGTGCACGACTAAAATTAGAGACGGCTTCAGTGTAGTTATGGGTCATTGCGAGGCTGCATACTTTAAATTGCGATGTTATTTTCACCCTGTTGTTGTCGTGTGCATCTGTTATGTTGACACACAGAACGGGGGCTTTTATTTGCTCTATCCACGGAGGTGGCAGACTTTCCAGGGTTCCATTAATTGAATCCCACCTCGTTCCACTCGTTATGCACGGACGTGATGTAACAATTCGTAATTAGTTACTGTTGGGTTAGGTTGTGTAGGTATATTGCCAGTTTTCAACACTGCAGTTGAACAAATTATTTAACTATGTTGCTCACTGCGTTGGCAGTGGTGTACGAGCGCAAGTAACACAATAAAGCTCAACACATTCATGATTACCACTGTGGCCTTAAAATTCAATATGTCTAATAGGTGACGTTTCAGGCAATGGCCCTTGATCGCATATCCATATCGAGCGTCCAGATAGATAGTCTCCAACTCTTGTTATCCACACTCTCTGACCTCCAATGATGTGCCACGAGGAAGGACCTCTGGCCAAAACGTCACCAATTTTATATTTGACATTTCATTGTGTTATCGAGGAATGTGTCGAGATGTTGGTGCAGTTGGCTTGGCATGAGCTCGTCGAGATATGGAGATTGGCCTATGCAAAAGCGAGGTGCTTGGAAGATGAGAGACAGAAAGGAGGTTACGTATTTTGTAACTCCAGCGCTGTCCTCCAGACAGTCTCGTCCCTTCACCTGATGAAGGCCGCTTGTGTTGTGGCCGAAACGTCGTGATTTTTTGTTATTTTATTTTCACCTACGTGACTTTACCCAATAGAACCAAAGAGTATGGATCCTAGCAGTCACGAAAGCTATAAAACTAGAATTGATGTAACGAGTTTGTGTGTGCGTGTGTGCACGCACGCCAGCACACTTTCAGTAGGCGTACACATTCATGAATTCCTTCGCGGCAACAACCTAGAATTTTCAAATCAGGAATTTCTGAAATGTAAGGCGTTAAATCCTGGTACATTTTATTGGTTCTTTCGGTAAAGTCACGTAGAAGGGAAATAATAAAATAATTAAACTAAAACATAATCCAATAAAATTCTCACGACGTTTCGGCCACAACACAAGTAGCCTTCCTCAGGTGAAGAAACAGAACTGTCGGAAAGACAGCGCTCCAATGAACACTGCTAAGCTTGGCAGCGTATTTTAAGCTGAGTGGGAGGAGCAGAGTGCCTTGACAAAGGAGTTTACATATCAACAGAATAATTTAGCATTGAAGTAGCTGTGTTAATGTGAGAGATTAGCAGGATGTTAAGTCAGAAATTAGCATGTAACTGGGAGATTAGCATGATGTTAGTGTGAGGCATTAGCATGTAACTGGTCACGGAAGTAGCTATGTTAAAGTCAGAGTTTACATATCAACAGAGGTATTTAGTATATTGACGCTAAAGAACTGCAACTACCCAACTATCATACAATAAACCGATGTGAAAGAACGAAATATAAACTACTTCAATATAATCGATGTACTCAATATATTTCGATTAACAGCGTTCATTCAAGTTCTGTCTTCTTGATAGACCTGTTTCTTCACCTGAAGAAGGCCACTTGTGTTGTGGCCGAAACGTCGTGAGAATTTTATTATTTTATTTCATTATTTTATTTCCATTCTACGTGACTTTACCGAAAGAACCAAGAATATGTACTCAATATATTCTCCAATAAGCTGAGCTGGTACATTATTTATTGCGTTGACATGTGCTGTGTTTCAAGTCCTTACAAAGGGCCTGAGATATGTATTGGGAATACAATTTCACTTATTTGAATGTAAAAGTAATATTTTTGTACAAAAACATTTTTTTAGCAAAACTTTTCCACTTTGTTCACTTTTACACTGTAAACCCATCAATAATGTTAAACATGGGTTACATGTATACTTAAAAATCTCATGCTTAATGAGTTCATTGGTGGCTTAGTTTAATAATGCTATCTGATTATTTAAATAATCAATGATGCTACCAGTTATCTGTTCCAATACTCCACTATTCGAATTAACACGGAAATCGTTTAGGGAAAACAAAAATACTCATCACTTCCCGTGTGTGCCACTGGACGGGAGGTGGCAGCGTCCGCATAACGCTCTGTGTGGCTTTGCCGACGGTTTCCGGCCTTTCTGGAGGCAGCATGTGTGAGGCGGCGCTGGCCATCATTCGGAATCGAAATCTTTATTGAGACTGGAGGGGGAATCCGATGAGCCAGGAAGCTCTTTTATTCACAGAGGTCCAGTAAGGGTGGGCCAGCGAGTTACCACAGCGAACGACACAAAAGCAACGATAGTAGTGCAAAATACAGACAGAGGTAAGCAAGTCACTAGATAGAAATAATTGTTTTAAAAATAATGTATTCATGAATGATTTAATTTATAATATGTCAGATCGATCGAGCTTGGGTTGAGGCAGCAAAAATGACAACAGAATAGTCCCAGACCACACCAGGATAACAACCACTCAGCAGTAATCCCTCAATAAAATGGCACATTAACATTGAACTATCGATACGCAGGTAAGGATCAATGTTACAAATCAAATTGGCAAGTGTGACTGTATCCAGCGCTAATTATATATTTTTTTAAAGTAGGATTTACAAAGTTAAAGGTTGTTCCCTAAACGTTGGTGGCTGCAAGGGCTGCAATTATCAAAAAGGAGTGCAGCAATTAAAATATGTGGCCGATTACAATCTCTTTAAGTTATATACACCACTTAATCATCCCCAGCTCGACCGCACGATTTTGATAAACCAACCTCTCTATAACTCCCCTGTGGCCACCTGCAATTATCGTGCATGCCGATTGTCAGTGATGTTGCGCTGACGTAACATTAAAAACGACGCGCTGCATTCACTGGCTGGCCACGCCTGCCAACACTTCACTCGCCAACTTTATGCGGACAGGAATTAGAAATAAATACTCATCTTTATGGCCCTAAATTATGATTGCGTTAAATTACAAAATAACACTCTATTACGTCCTGTTAACGCTTAACTAGAATCACAATAGCATTAAAATCCCAGCATCATTACTCACATAATACACCTCAACGAAAATTGCTGGCTTATTTTCACCAATTGCTACATAGATTCACCTTATGACACTCACCTGACCTGCCTGTCACAACCAATCAACTAATTAATTATTAGATCCACTTGCATGATTGTACCGCTGACGTCATGGCATCTCCCCAAGGACCCGGATCAGGAAGTGCTTTCACTTGAGATCCAAGCTGATAACCTGAGGATGCTGGATGCAGTCTCCAGCGAAACGTCGCGCTCCTTTAAAATTTTGCGAGATTATTTTCCAACAACAAACCGGCAGTGCTGCTAAAGCAGTAATTAATTAGGCCGCGTTTGATTCAAGTGACGCTTTTATTTGATACTTTCTAAGCATTTTTTTTCGTCATAAAAACCCAGAATACAGTGGGAATTTCAATACGAGGGAAAAGAAACAACAGATAACGTGTAACAAGCCAGGGCGTAATGCACCCTCAACATTTGGGAACGAATAAACGAGGGCGTCCAAACTCGCGGTAGGGGTAACGATCGGGAGCAATGTATATAACGGGAGGGGGGTGGAAGGAAATAGGAGAAAGGGGGGGAGGAATAATGTAACAGAACAGAAAATAGAATAACATGAACGCGATGTACACATTTGTCTTGTTATCTCGCAGGAGCAACAATTACCATGCGTTCAGAAGGGTGGCGGAGTACCCAGAGTCTACCCCCTTCTCCCTTCTCTCTTGGCCCCGAT